CATGCCCAAGAACAAATATACATAATTTGAAACATGTTACAAGACATTCCCCATGATGCCAATTATCCCAATAAAATCAATTATAACCTGGTAATGCAAACGTAAGCAAAAATAATTAAAAGGGAAAAGAAATACTTGTAATGGCGTCGATGGACTAGAAGTCAAAGGGACAGGGATCATCAGTTAGCGAGATGATAGCGAGCCTGCTTGGGACAAGCCGGATATAGAGGGAGAGGAGAGAGAAATTGAGGAAAAATTCACATGGAGAGATGGCGGGTGTGGTGTTTTATGCCCTAGTTTGAAGGGGTCTGCTATAGCGGACCAGTCAAAACTTAAAAAATAATTCAGCACGAGTCCAAATTGTCAACATCGGACAGTTCACAGTGAAAGAATTCAAGCGGTCCAACATCAAACCACCATGTGCAAGTGAGTTTTAGGGCAGTTCAATATTTGCAACATCGAACGGACCCAGAGATAGGGGTGTTCAATATTTCTGACATTGGATGGCCTTAAATAATAATAAGAAAAAAAAGGAAATTCCCACCAATCTGATATTGGAAATGACGGACTGATGAACAAAACTGGGGGAAGAAATATGCAAGCTAGGGGCGGACTTGGGTATAATATTTGGGAAATTTTTTACTAGGCTGTAATAACTGGCCCCAAAACTGGTCCGTATGTAATTTTCCCAAGAACAAATAAAGTGGGGAGGGGGGGGGGGGAACACCTTTTACAAAATTTTCCCCCTTGAGTGATATTTTCCCCTCCTTTTAGGCAGGTCATTTTGGACTGCTTATCTTTTTCTTTTGCGTCTTTATAGGTTCCCATTCCCAACTAACTGAAGCTTGGACCTATTCAAGTGCTACATTTGGGTGTTACCTCATTTATATTTTATTTGTAGGGATAGCATTAGTATCATGGTCTTTCCATAGGTTAGGGAGAAGAGATTAATGAAGGAAGACTGAGTGGACATTTTTAATGCTGGATGTACTACAAGTAGTAAGCATGAAGGTACATGTAGGTGGTCCTAGGTCAGGGCTACCACGTTATTGAATGTGTAGTTAATATCCCCTCCTTGAATCATAGCATGGGATTTGTTTTCCTTTTTCTTTATTTTTCTTTCTTTTGTTTACAGAGAGGAATTCATGTTTTCATGCTCAAGGAGACTCTCTCTTCTTGAATCAAAGTTAGTTAAGAGAGGAGTATATGTCAGTACATGTCCTTTTTTTTTTTTTGGGTAATTGCAGTAGGAATCAAATTTAGGAATGGTGTTCTAAACGCTCAAGCCCCAACCATTCAAATGGCTCATGTTTTCAGGCTTAAGGAGATCCCTCCCTCACACACACATGAAATATTAATAGAAAAGAAGCCTTACAAATATGGACTCTCTATCCTAGAGTAAATTATGTCTAACAAATATGCATATTCCATGAACATATGTGTACCACCAATTACATGAAATATTACTAAAAAAGAAGCTTTACAAATATGGACTCTCTTTCCTAAAGTAAATTATGTCTAACAAATATGCATATCCCATGAACATATGCGTATCGCCAATTACTTTACCAATCATCAATCATCATGCCTTTGACATAAGGCCTATGGAAGAAAGGTCATAAAATGTCGCTCTGGTGGCATGGTAAGCCCCAATAATAGCATGAAAAGCCATCCATTTCTGCCCCTGATTATCAATTTGGAGCTTAAGAAAAAAATGCACATTTAGCGGATCCGCAAAACACTTGAGAATAAATGGTTCAAACAAATAAATGAAAGCCATTCATTCCTCTCCTCCAGGTTTATAGAATGACCATAAGAAGAAATATGGTTACTTAACATGACACTTTTTAATATAATGGTAATATGATGCTCGTTCTAATGTCTATAATCTAACAGTATACAACAGTCACGAACTCAAGAATGAATAGACCAATAACGTTAACATATCAAAAAAATTAAAGATTGAATAGACTGATAGTTAGTATCTTGTCAGAATCAACAGAACCAATGGACGTTTCTTAAGAAAATGAAATAAAACACAAAAAATGATGGAAAGCACCTATAGTGGCATGAAACCCCAAGTCCCAAAACTATCCCAAATAATGTCGATTATATTTTTCTTGATAGATACCTTATAGTATCCTTAGGAACAAGCTTATTGTAACAGCAAGATCCAGTAAAAAAGGATAGCCCCAATGCTAGGTCCCACTCTATCACCAAGAATGTCCATCACTGTGGTGACTCAATGAATTATGGGTTCTCAATGGTCTATTAGACCATACCATACTTCTCTGTAAATACTTTTTGCACCCAAATATTGCAATAATAAAACATGACCAAATAGTAGCATCAATGGGAGTGCATTGGGTCGTAACTGTCCATTGCATGATGGATGATAATGGAGAGAAAACAACCAAAATCTCAAAC